CAGAAGAAGTTAAGGTTGATGCATTAAAATTTATTGAGGTATTAGTATAACTAATTAGATATATTCAAATTTTTTATTTTATATTTTGTTTACTTATTCAAACTTTTCTTATTGTATTATTACAGTCAAGATTTGTACTTGAAATATCAACTTCATTTGTGTTTAAGTCATTGGGAAAGAAATGGAAAGATTATAAGCATAGTTTGAAGAATAAGTATTTCGATCGAAATACTATTGTAGAGGTGATGATGCAAAATCTACCTCGTAATGTGATTAGGTGGCAATATGAACAACTGGTTAGATTTTGGTTCTCAAGAAAAGGAGAGGTACTAGTTTATAACTTTGTATAATATAATGAAATGATGAAAGTGTTTGATGGTTTCAGTTGGTAATATTTGTATTTCTATCATATACGTAATTATATTTTATAGCAGGAAAGAGAACATATTGGGATTGGTAGCAAAAACAATAGAAATATAGCCACACAAGTGGATAAAAAAGTTTTCAAGAAAGCAAAAAGAAATTGTAAGTTTATAATAATTAACTTATTCCAATGAATGAACTTTTTCTGTCATTAAAAGGTAAATATGTAAATTAACATTTATTGTTCTATTTTAATAGATTTGATTATTTCAATACATGATATTAAACTTATCGAAAGTTTTGAACTTAGTTACAGGATGATATGCATGAAAAGTTACTATTTACGTATATTTATGCCTTTATTATCTGGTTGTTGTTATTGTTGTATTTTAATAGTTTCGATAGCTTCAATATTTGATATTAAGCTTGTCTAATTGATCGAACTTGATTTCTATGGTTGATATGGGAGAAAAAGTTATAAGTTATGTCTGTTTGGGAATATTTTTGCATATAAAAGGTAAATATACAAATAAATTTTGGATGCCTTTCAACATATTGAATGGATTCAATCCTTCATATTAAATTGAGAAAAAATAATTGAATTTGGTTTCCATGATCGATATATGTGAAAGCTCAAAATGCTTTTATTCTTTACGTATATTTAAGATTATTGTGTTGTTACAGGGCTAAAATATAAATAAAAGATATTAAAGTTATTCACAATTTTAATAATTGATTGACAGGATTGATATGCATGAATAAGTTATGGTTGATATGTATCCTATCAAATAACATACGTTTTTGTATAGGAGAATGAGATGGGTGGTACAATTGGACGTATGAAACTTTTTCACGTAACACACACTAAAAGAGACGGATCTTACATGAATGTCAAAACACAAAAAATTATGGTAACTTGTATTATCTATTTTAACATAAAGTAAATATTAACTCTTTTTAACATATAATCAATTAATCTATATGACAAATTCATAGGAGAAAGTGAAAGAAAAAATGACTGCTGAGATTGAAGTAGCATCTGAAGGTTCTCTCAACATGCAAGAAATGAAAAATCGGATATTCATAGAAGTTGCTGAAAAAAAAGGCATGGACGGGTTCGAGGCCTTGGATTGGGTCCAACACTATCTGCCTACTATGGACATAACTCTCCGTAATTTACACTTTCAGTAAGTCAGTCTTCGCGAGACATTTCAATATTGAAAGGGGAGTTACAAATTATGCAACAACATTTTCAGCAAATGAAAGCAGAAAGAGAACAGGAGCGTGCCAAAATTGAAGAAGAACATGCTAGAATGGAGCTAGAGCGTGCAAAATTTAAGTAGTTGCATGATCGATTCGATCATCTTATGAATTTTGTGCAACAACAATTTTTAGAAAATGATCTTGGTGCTCAATCAACTCAGGTATTATATTTAGTAAATATTAAAATTTTTAAATAAAAAATAAGCATACAATGAAGTGTTAAAAATTGTATGGTATTATTCAGTAGGTTGTTGAGCACACTAGTGACCAAGGTGAAATTTTTTCTTCATCAATTGGCAACCAGCAAAATGTATGTAGTCATCCATTTCATACATTTTAATTTTTTATTTGGTTAATGTATTTACAATATTTGAATATTATTATTAATTATTAAACTTTGTATTAATTAGATGTATATTTAAACGTGAATGAAGTTAATATTAATTTCAGTTTTTGAATATAAGCTCTTTACTAAAAATAAAATTTATTATAAGAAATTAAAAAAAATATTTTTACATAATGGTGGCGTTTGCGTTGGGCAATATCGGTAAATGAATAATTTAGTGGCGTTTATAGCATAAAACGCCACTATAAGTAGTGACGCTCTTTTCAGCAAACGCCGCTAGTTAGGTGACGTTTTTTTTTAAAAACGTCACTAAAGCAACAACGTTTTTCTCATAACAATGCCACTGAATTAGAGGCGCTTAAAAGATATAAATGCTGCAAATATTGAGGCATTTTCAAATTCAAACACCTCTAAAGTAGCAGCGTTTTCTGTTACAAATGCCATCAATGCAATGGCATTTTTCTCATAAAAATGTCAGTGAAATAGCGATGACTAAAAGATACAAACGCCGCTAATATTGAGCTATTTTCAGATTCAAACGCCTCTAACGTAGTGACATCTCAAAGATATAAATGCTGCTAAAATGGCAGCACTTTAGATATAAACGCTACTAATATTGAAGTTTTTTTTTTAAATACTGTTATTTATCGTAATGCGTGTATAGACGGTACTTTGCGTGATCTTTTTTTGCAAACGCCGTAACTTTATAGTGATGTTAATAAACGTCGCTAAACGATAAAAAAATGTCGCTAAAAATCAAAATCCCTATAGTGCGGGTGATATATCATGTAAGTATAGTGAAACATACAATTGGCATAAGCCATAAAGGCAAATAATCAGCTGGGACTCCGCTAATTCACCAGACTAAATTACTGAAGAAAACCAAAGATAGAAGATAGAGAAGAAAATCATAATCATAGTGTCTGAGTGGAAAGTTGAAAATGAAAGGGCAATAAAAAATTATCCCGGCATTTTTTATTTTTATTCTTTCAATTGCTAAATCTAATGGGCTGTGGGTGGTAGTCGTGTGGATAGCACACTCCTTTCGTTTATTTAACATTATCTATTTCCCACAACTAAGTGCTCTCCGATTCAGCAATCCATTATTTTTGGGGTTGTCATTTTGAGTGGGTTGTAGGCCCTCTATCTATGCAGAAGATCTTTTGGGTTTCAATACTTAGATAATTAATTATATAGTCTAATTGGATTTTCCTACAGACAGCACAAAAAAAGAACATTTTAAGATTAATCAAAGTTGTTTTTATTGTTCAAAGGTGGCTTTGGTTATATGTAAATAACGAAGCTTAAAATTTCTTATAATGATGGTTGGTTTTCAAAAAAAAAAAAAAAAGAAAAAAAAAGAAACAGAAAGAAAGAAAGAAAGATGGTTCCCATACGATTTGGAATATTTATTACTTATTCTTCATTATTATATTATAGGCCGACCTTTAATTTGCTATGTGGCTATAACCCTTGAAAACTGCTTAAACGTCTTTCAGTTTTGTCAGACAATGCAGAAATTCAACTAAATGTTTGTTAGAAAGCCAACCAATGACCATCTCCTTTTCTCAAATAACCAAAAAAGAGAAAGCAATGGCCATTTTATGAATGTTAATTTTAATCTATAATAGGTTATATAAACCACCCTTATAAGGATACATAGAGTCAAGAATTTCTCAAAGGCACAATTTCAATAGAAATGCCAAATCATATATTATATATATATATAATTTCAATAAGAGAAGCCATATACTAATATATATATACATATATACCAACTGTATCGAAAATCACATGCCCTATGGGCAGTCGAAAAGAAAACAAAGGAGGAAAAAAACATAACAGAGTGATTTGTAATAAAAAGATGGATATATAGCCGAAGAAATTAAGAGATTTGAAATGTTTTGTACTTTCTTTTGTCTTGTTTAGTAGTCATGCTATAGTCATGAATTTGTATTCCGGTGTAACTGCCTTGGTAGTACATTTCCTTTGGGATATCATTATAAAAATTTCATATCTTCTCCGTAACTTATAACAGATAATAGAAATTTTTGTACTTCTATGGTTTCAGTTTGCTTCTTTAGATTTGTTTTTAACCTTTTCTGTCTTTCCTACTACTTTTTTTTTTGGCTTTTCAAACAATTTGAAGCCAATAATTTTGATGATCAGAAGCAATATATCCAACATCGAATTTGCAGCAAAGTGGAGAAATGATGACTACTGTTTTTACCATATACTACCAATTGTGTTGGCCATACAAAATTTTGAGAGTCGAGTCTGAGTCCATTGTAGAAGTGATTCACAGGGTGGCAAAGCTTACTTTGTTTAATTGGTCAAAAATCAGCTTGATTAGGCTTCTTTAAAGATCTTCCAACGCCTGCATATCTGGAGACCATAGTCATGGGGTGAGCAGCAATTGAATAGTGTAGTTACAGTGCGTATGTAAATATCAAATCATGACACCCCCGCAAAGACCTTCCAATACAATAAATGTTTCTTCTTTTCCTCAAGCTTTAAACTTTAATTTACATTTTTTTTACCGTATTAATTAATTCTTATCTACCTTAAGTTGATTTTGTACGTTGTGATTTAACAATCATTGGTGTCAGATCAGGCAGCAGTCCATTGAAAATGAGAAAAATTTCTCTCTTTTACTTTTTTATCTTTCTTAACTTTGCTTAAAAATCCCTTAATTAATATTTGATGCTTATAAAGGATACCAAGAATATAAGGCTAAAAAAAAAGTTCACGGGAAAATTTTTTTTTTTTTTGTTTCTTTGAGATTAAATGTGTAAACTATGCAATTCTTTGGGCAGATGACATAATTTCTTTGGCAAATCTACTTAGAAAAATTTTGTTTCTAGGATATCGAGACAGCTTCTCATTTTTTTTTTTTTTTTGTGAAATAGTATTTCTTAAGATCTTCATGGGTGCTTATACCCCACATTTGCCTCCTTCACAGTGAACGTCTCGCTCAATAAATACCCTTCTAGGGGGCGTGTGTCCTCCACACTTTTCCTTCTTTCCTTGTCTAATTTCCCTCATTTTCTAACATCTTGCCATTTCCTTTCCTTTCTCATGGAAACCACCAACGGAGCATCTTTCAATAACCAGAAGTTCACTATCCCACCAATGAATGATGTTGAGCAACAAACAAGCATGGAAATTGAAGCAAAAGATGACTTTAATTACTCAAAACGATCACAATGGCTACGAGCTGCGGTCCTAGGGGCCAACGATGGACTTGTCTCCACTGCATCACTGATGATGGGTGTTGGTGCAGTAAAACAAGACATTAAAGCCATGATACTAACCGGTTTTGCAGGTCTGGTAGCTGGGGCTTGCAGCATGGCCATAGGTGAGTTTGTTTCCGTTTATTCACAGTTAGATATAGAGTTGGCGCAGATTAAAAGAGACAAGCAAAGAGGTGAAAATAGAGAAACAGAAGAAGAAAACGAAGGAGAAAAGGAGTCTTTACCAAACCCTTTACAAGCAGCTGCAGCCTCAGCGCTTTCATTTTCAGTGGGAGCAATGGTGCCCTTGCTAGCTGCATCTTTTGTAAGGGAGTACCAGGTGAGGTTAGGTGTAGTGATTGGTGCTGTGAGCTTGGCTTTGTTGGTATTCGGATGGTTGGGAGCTGTGTTAGGGAAGGCACCAACCGTGAGGTCTGCAGTTAGGGTCTTGGTTGGAGGGTGGCTGGCTATGGCTGTAACCTTTGGGTTAACCAAGTTGATTGGATCAAGTGGGCTCTGAACTTCCTTCTTTCTACCTTGCCTTTTGGCTATTGTGGAGACATGGAACTGTAACCATGTTGTTTTTGTCTGATATATTTTCCTATGTTGCTTTTTCCTTGGACGCAATCTGTGCATGGAAATATGCATGCTCTACATATTTGGAATATATATATATATATAGAAAGAGTACTTAAATATTTTCGTTTATGTAAGATCTAATTATCTCCATTTAACTTAAATATATAATTAATTTCTATGTAAAATTATTAATGTTGTGTAAAATTTAGATAAAGCAAATTCCTCTCAAGCTTAATTATGAACCATTTGGATCTTTTTTTAAAAAATTTTTTTAATATACATAGAGTTTTGAACAAAACACAGAATGTAATAATTCTCTTTTCTCTTATTTCATAAATTCTAACTGTGTTACTTCAATATTTAAATACGAAATTGCAAGTTAGAATTTCACTTTCTAACTGATGAAAATATATATATATATATATGTTTCCTTATTAAAACCTTATTTATTTAATTAATATAAATAATTTCTTCGTAATTCAAATGGATTGAATTGTCATTGAAACTTATCTATTTGGGACTTTTATATGTTAGTGGATACTAAAGTATAAGAGGATAATTTATGTTTTTCTGCTCCATATATATATATATATGTATTAACTAAGTTATAAATATAATATAATGGTACCTGCTGTGCATATTGACTAAGTTATAATTTAATATAGATTAATATAATTAATAACTTTAGTATTTTTAAAGTAATAAAATTAAAATAATTCTTATAATACTAAATTAAATTGAAAGGGTAAATTTAAGTTCAAAAAGCAAATATGTATGACCTAAATTTTAAAATAAAGTTTTAATAGAGAATATTTATAATATCTAACATTTAACTATATAATCAGTGAAAATCAAAAGGCAAATGAATATAAAAAAATTTAAATATTTAATCCTTCTTTCTTTTGATTATTCCATTTAGAAGTTTTTTCTTAACGTATTCTAGTGTTAGGTCACAATATTTATTTATTTTTTATAATTTTTTAAGAAAAATTTTCATCTCTAAAAGATTATCTTGTATAACAATCAAATGGGATTTTACATTTTTTTATTGTATATTTTTCTTGAGCTGTCTTTTTAACTTCTTTGGTGGTGGATCTTTATCATTAATTTTATAAATTTATGAGACAATCAATCATTGTTGAATTTATTCAGGCTCTTACTTCTCATATATTTAAATTCTTTATTTGATTTGAAACCCATTGTTGCAAAATTTTTTTTGCTTGAAATAAACTAACTTTCAAACGTTTTCTTTTCAATCACTGACTTCCATTTTAACATGCATGTACCTATTTATATAATATAAATCATTTTGTAATTTCATTTTATAATAAAAATACATGCACAAATTCTATTAATTAAGAAATATTAATTTATAAACATGTTTTAAAAAAGATATGAAGCAATCAAGAAATATAAATAGTGTCTCAATTAATTTAATAATCAAGGAAGTTTATTTGTTTACAAGAGATATTTACTAAAGTTACTTTTAATATCAAGTTGTGATTTTTTAAAAAGCCACTAAAATGTATAACTTATACAAATATGTTACAATAAGAGTTTGAATAACCCATTTGCATTTAAAGGTATATTTTATCCTAAATTAAATTTTTTTTATGTTCTTTCAATATTGGAATACTTTTCTCAAGTAACTTTAGTTTAACATTACTATCATTTGCTAAATAATGAAATATAAGAATTTTAAAAATAATAAGGTATTACATATTTTAGACAACAATAAAAAAATACTCTTATATTTTGAAGGTAAACTTTGTTTTAAATATTTTATTAGACTTTAAAATTTATTGTGAATAATCTTTTTTAATATTTGAATCTCTTTTTAATTAAAATGGAGTGATTTTTTTATTTGACGAATACTTAATTATGTTGGAAAATATTTTCAAAATATGAACATATGATTAAGTAAATAACTTAATCATAGAGAAATATTGTTAAGTTGTTAAAATAACTTAAGGTTTTGTTTCTAAGGCTTTACATGAAATAATAAAGTTTAAAGAAACATACTGAGAAGGCTTTACATGAAAGTAGTTGACTGCCATGTTCAAAGGAGTCGACTGCTTTAGGCATTCAAAGGGAGCAATCGACTGCCAAAGGCAGAGAGTCAACTTTTTTTGACAAACAGAAGCTAAAAATAGATTTTGTATAAATAACAGTCAACCACTAGCCTATTACAATCGATTGTAATAGCTGAAAGTGAGAAGAATTGATTCCAAACCCTAATAAAATCGACTGTTATTGATTAATTATCTTCTAAAAAATTGATCTATGTTATAGCAGTTGACTACCATTGAATAGAAATCGACTACTTTATAGGAAGCCAAATATAAAACCTTTCTAGAAATTGAAAAAAAAAATCAATTGGCATATGAAGTAGTCAATTGCTCATGAGTTGAATGCATTCTGTAAGATGAAAAAAGTATACTGCTCTATAAAGAAGTCAACTACTTTGCTAAAGAAAACATTATGAAAATTAGAATTACAAAAGGCAATCGACTGCTTTCTTGGAATATGGTTGCTTTACTTGAAAAATTATAATTTCAAAAAATGTGAACAGTTGTTTCTCCATGTGAAAATTTTGATTTATTCAAATAAACAAATATGTTTGTAATCTTTCAAAAAGACATATTTATAATAAAAAAGTGATCTTTGATTGAACAATCCAATCAAAGAGTCACAATCTTAGGATTTAATTTTTATAAATAGAAATTGTGAGTATTCATTTAGAGAAGTTTAATAGAATTAGTAATTCAAAAACTCTTTCTCTTTTCTCCTATTCTAACCAAAAAGTGGCTAGTTACTTTGCATAATTTTTGTAGAAATTAATGTTCAAAGTTTAAAATTTTCATTTTCATCAAGAGATATTTAGTGATTTGATATCACAAGTGCAAGGTGAAATCAAAAGTTGAAATCAAACAATGTTCCTTGTATTTTGGAGGCATTTCGGTTATATCTTTGCATATGATAACTAATAGAGACGAATATGCCTTAAGAAAAATGGCATTTGTAGCATGCCTTAAAGTAATTTTCTTGTTCTTTAAAGGTCCATCTTGATTGTTATTTTTTATAGCTTGCAAGTGTATAGATCGCTATCAACTAATAAAGTGATGAAGTACAGTATCATTCCAGTGAGGATTACATATTGGGTGCAAAACCAAGTACCAAAAGGGATGCTTTACTAGCCTTATATTTAAATAGATAAAAAAGATAGTTGATTGTATTAAACAACAAATAAAGAAAACAATTGAAAAGTGTAAACAAAAATTGTATAGGCTAAGAACCAACTAATTAACCAACTATCACTTGGTAGTTTTAAGGATGGTCAAAAAATAATTGTAAACTAAAGAAAACCAACAGCTTTGTAAATAATGTAGGTTGGTTGATTGTAATGAAAACATAAAAGAACAATATTGAAAACAAGATTGAAAATAAAAAAGAATATAAAGATTACTTGCGGAATAATGAAAAGAGATCTTGAATAAGAATCTAAAGAAAACTTGTATTAAAAGATGCTTTTAAGAAAACAAGATTGTTATGACTAGTCTGTCATCCTAGCTTAACTAAAGAAAACTATAAAGAAACTTTAAAGAAAACCAAAACTAGAGAAAAGAGAAAAAGGAGAATAGATGTGTTGTGGGATGTGAGATGTGTTACAAGTGAGGGATGGCTCACTATTTATAAGCATAGGTTTGGCCAAGCATAGGATAGGATTACAAAGTCCTACTCTAATTTGAATTCTTAAAAGATTACAAGTTATCTTGATCTTGGAAGTGTTTGATCGAATATGGGATCTTCAATAACACATGTGTTGGCCGAAAAGGTGTTCTTAGATTGGTCTTCAATGCACACTTCTCTTGCCATGTCATCATTATCTTGAATTTTGAAAGTAGGTTTGGCTAAGGTAGAAATGCAAGAGCAATATTCAAATTATTTATCTTGAATTCAAATACATATTTTGCTAAGGCATATCCAAGACTCTTTTTGGATTAGGTCTACTTGAGTTCAAACTCTCTTGGATAGAAATCAAAGAATCCTCATTGAATTAAAACTCTAGCCTTTATATTCTTTAAGGTGTCCATCTTGGAGTTAAACTATTTAAATTGATCAAAGAGTCCTTATGCAACAACAACTCCTTCGATAGTTGAATGTATATAGGAAATCCTTAAGATATTTGGATTCGCCTATAACTCTCCCATGCATGGCTGAATATTGCTTGTCTTGTGCTTGGCTGAATCTTGCATAGATTTTGCATAGAATTTTAGTCCAAAGGTGTCAAACCCTAAAAATTAAGAATTCAACATTCATAGTACAAAATCAAGCAAAATTTAAAAATTAAACTAAAATGTACATGTAAAACACTATAAATTTAACAGTCATCACATCTTAAGTTCAATCAAGGCTTGGAAGGGAAGACTATAATCGAAGATAAAATGGTAGATTATCATCAACTTCAATGTTCATGAAGATGCAAGCTTTTGAACTAACAAATTATGTACTAGTATAAGTCATAAAAATCCATCATTTAACTAATATTGTCATAAAATTATAAATTATAGAATTCATACTATTATTATTAATAAATCATATATTTTGATTTAAAAATATTACGTACCCAAGAAAATAACTAATTATAAGTAATTTTTCTATGGTTTTTTTAAATAGGTTTAGACTCATTCTTTCTCTCATTTTAAAGATATAGGATAATGTCGCGAATGGTTCTTAAACTATACTAAATTGTTTAATGTGATACTTGAACTTTAAAAATATTTAATGTGATACTTAAACTATAAATCTGTTAACTAATGTGATACTTGGATAATTGTTTATTCACCACGTACCATCATTTAGAATTAACCACATTAAAGGTAAATACCACATTAGTTAACAGATTCATAATTCATGTATTACATTAATAATTTTTTAAATTTAGGTATTACATTAAACATTTCACTATAGTTTAGAAGTTATTCATGATATTAACCTAAAG